ATCAGCAAACAGGTCTTTTTAAAAGAAAGTTCTCTTTCATCTCACTAAAAAGAAGGAACACATTAAAACCAAAACAGGAACTACTTTGGCAATATATGTGTAAAAAAAAATAAGCACCCTATGGGGCTCTTATTAAATTAGCCAGAATGCACAGAGACGTCTTTGAAAAGGAAACTTCTGGGGGTGAAAACACATTTTTCTTGATTTCATAAACACTCATTGTTTAATCATCTGAAGAAAGTGCAAGCTTATGATTAAGTTCCCCCCGGCCCCAACTCCTAAACAGATGAGCTCTTTTAAGTCACCTCCTACCCCTGTCTCCCACCACCCCTTTGCCCCCATACTTAGGAAGGCAGGATAAGTGACCTGAAAACCAGCCTGCCAGAGAAGCAAGAAGTGACCCAGGAGGTCCTCTCAAACTGCTTACATGTTAGGCTGTGCCCCTAACCGATGGCACAGGAAGCTGAATTTTGCCCCGGTGCTGACGCAGTGTATTCATATGCTGTGTGAATCCCATGAGCAGTGGATGACCTACTCTAGTTTATTCTGTTGCTTTTTTTTTTTTTGATTGACTTTAAGAATCGCTCTTCCTTGTCCCCTCTTCTCCAGCCCCAGGCAGTCATATAATTTTAAAATCAGGATGCTCAGACTTCCTGAGTCAGATCGTAGCTTCCACTCTTACCAGTTGTCCCGATATGGCCAAAGAGGCGCTGTTTACATAGTTTTCTACATTTATTCCAATGGGAAAAGTTAGGAGTCTTATATAGGTGCAAGATCTAATTATGCAAAGTCGAGGCATTTTGACATGAAGCAAATATTTAAACGATTTAAAAAAAAATAAATGAAAGTCCTAATAAGCCATGTAAAGAAAGTAGGAAGAAGTTTTTAACCAAGAATTTGGGTTTGAAGAACACAGTGGTAAATAAGCAATGCATTTACTCTTGGACTTCTTGATATCTGGAAAAAAGAAACACAACAAAGTACATTGCTTTTGCTAACTTAAAAGAAAGAAAAAAGGATGTCATCAAAAGAAAACAAAATTTATTAGTGTTAAACTCCCATAACTTTATCAATTTATAGTACAGAACATAATTTTGTAAAATTTTGTAAAACATTCAGGAAACACACTTCGGGTACGGGTAGTGCAAGTTTTCTAAAGATTTTGTTTGTTTGAGAGAGAAAGCTAGAGCAAGAGAGAGCACGGAGAGGGGCAGAGGGGGAGAAAGGGAGAGAATCCCAAGTAGACTCCATGCTTAGGGGAGCTGGACTTGGGGCTCCATCTTAACCCTGAGATCACGACCTGAGCCAAATCCGAGTCAGAGCCTTAACCTACTGAGCCACCCAGGTGCCCTAACACATAGTGTGCATTTTTGATTTGAGTCTTCCAGTGAGAGCTGGGAACAAGTTCACTGCTAAATATCTGATGTATGTGTTCTATGGTATTCATAAATTCATTCCAAATTTGGCTTGACTAGTAAGGTAATGGCTAAGCATTGTAGATAAATCCACAAACAGGAAAAGACCTGTCCCACAGTTTATGGAATCTGGAGGGAGACTGACTTTAAGTAAGCAGTAAAAGTGAAGTACCTACCTGCCACTCTGAAAATCACTGTGAAAGAAAAATACAGGGCCTATGAAAGTCAGTCCTAGTTAATGGGACAATCAAAGAAATCTTTCCCACATCAGTGTCTTTAGTCAGGAGTCTGAGGATGCATAGGAATTAAGCTGGGTGGGGCCCGGGCAGCATTACAGTTGCTCTGTAGACTAAGAAGGTGAATTTACAAAGGACGAAGACGTGAGCCCAAAGCAGAACCTGTGCTCCTATTGGGGAGAATAAGGGTAGTGACCAAAGATAAGGCTGGGACAGCCGGTGAGGTCAGAGCCTGAGATACCTTGTAGATTACATTTAAAAACATTAATGGTATCCAAAGAATAAGGGAGATGTCACACAAGAATTTCAAGCAAAGCAGTGACAGACATATTTGCACATTAAGAGTTACACCTGCTAAGCACTGGGGAAATGGGTATTCTGGTATTAAGATGAGAATTAGAAAGTGAAGATCCATTTTTATGAAGTTCTATCCCTTATTTCCTTTCTAGGAGAGCTATAAGAATATCTGTAACTGAGTCCACATCTTTCAAGAAGCTTCTTTACATCTGGTCAAATGTTCAATAATACTGTGCTTGAAGCCCCAGAAATCCAGATCAGTGATTGGCAAATAGGCACACTTTTTTTTTTTTTTTCTAAAGAGCTTGATAGTATATACTTTTGGCTGTGTGAGCAAAAAGATTTTTTTTTTCCCAATTCCTTATCTGTGCACAGAAGCAGCCATAGACAATATGGGCCTGACTATGTTCCAATAAAACTTTATTTACAAAGCAGGAGGTAATGTACTTGGCCATATTTTGCCTATCTCTGACCTAGATCAAGAAACATTAAAGAGGTAATCTTGACAGAGATTCTGGAGGATATGGTAACCATCTAAGCAAACAAACCTTTAATGGGATAACTGTACTTTCTTTGGGCTTTGATTATGAGCACTGTGCTGTGATAGACTTATATATAAGGAACAAAATGCACCTTCTGTGAGCTGAAAGGATTTACCTTTATTTATTTATTTAAAGATTGTATTTATTTATTTGTCAGAGAGAGAGCGAGTGAGCACAGGCAGCGGGAGAGGCAGGCAGAGGAAGAAGCAGGCTCCCTGCTGAGCAAGGAGCCTGATGAGACTGGATCCCAGGATCCTGGGATCACGACCTGAGCCACCCAGAGTCCATGAAAGAATTTACCTTGTGAACAATATGATCATCCATGTAGATTGTGAAGAATATAAGCTTCTTAGAGGCAGGGAGTTATGTCTGTTCTGTTCAGTTTTGTTTTTGTTTTTTTTTTAACCCCCTAGCTGAGTCCTGGGATCCTCAGGTTTTGTCTATAGGATACTATGCTCAGAAATATAATGCTCAGTTACAAAATGAATGATCAGTTAATGACTTTTCAGCAGTAAAACTCTTCAAAATCATATGACTATCAGGTAACTTTTTATTCCTAGTGTTGTTAAAAACAACAACAACAACAAAATTCAACCTAGTAGATCTAATTGGCTTTATTAAGAGACTCATTAACCAGAAGCAAGTAGGGAGAGGCTCTTCGGAGTTGAGCAAAAGTGGAAGCTTTTTATAGAAGGAGGGTGGGGCAAGACGTTATTAGCAAAAGAAAAGATTGTTTCCAGCAAGTCACTTTCCCTTAGGGGTTAGGCAGGCTGTCTTATTGGGTGGATTACCTCATCTTCTTTTGGTGGAGAGGAGGGACAGAGAGGGCCCGTGTGACCTCCTTGGAGCAGTTTAGAAAATTCCTGATTGACAGATTAAGACTAGGTTAGGAATTAAGCCCCTTTGGTGATGTAGCCTAAGTGACTCAAAGAAGTCCATAACTACCCAGCTTGGTGACTCTTTTGGCTCACAATGTATCCACAGCACTTACCACCTTGTTTGGTAACCATGTTTAGTAAAGTATGGTTCAGTACAATATTTGAAGAGTAAATGAACCCCAGTTGAGATTCTGTGGCAGTAAAAGCTCTGAGGGATAAACCTTGAATCAATATCAAAATCATATGTATTGGCTAAATGGTACCCGCCTATGGAATCAAAGATTGATGAGAGATCAAGAAATATTGCAGGAGTCTTCAGTTATTTTTAACTATATCCACTGTCAAAACCCCCATAGAGTAAAAAGGATCAAAAGGGGGGCACCTGGGTGGCTCAGTGGGTTAAAGCCTCTGCCTTCAGCTCAGGTCATGATCCCAGGGTCCTGGGATCGAGCCCCACATTGGACTCTCTGCTCAGCGGGGAGCCTGCTTCCTCCTCTCTCTGTCTGCTTCTCTGCCTACTTGTGATCTCTGTCTGTCAAATAAATAAATTTAAAAAAAAAAAGGATCAAAAGGGTCAGCAGGAGAACAGTGGTGCTTTCCACACCCCTTTTCTGTGCAAAATAGTGAATGGAGAAACCAGACCCGCAACTTATTAAGAAAGCTGGCTCAGAATGTGGAGCTTCTGTGGAGGGGACTGACTGAAGGAGGTGCACGAGAAGGTTACCCTTCTCAAAGATAGAGGTGGATACTAGGACTGTGTCCTAGGAGAGTTGAATACAGAACTTTGTGGAGATTTGACTATGCAGAGCAGGACTTGGGGGCTGGGGCAGCTGAAGATTTTACCCTGGGGACTTCAGCTGGGAGCAGTTCATTCATTCATTGGTCATGCCTTAATGCACCAGGTTTGTCAATTCTTAATATAGATCGCTATTGTGTCTTCCGAAGGAATGAACTAGAGCCCCATATACCAGTAGTCTGGAGTTCCTTCCCAGAATTTTAAGCAAAGAAAGCAAACTGAAGGAGAATAAAACAAAAACTGACCTTGCTCTATATATAGTGTTTATTTGTGTGTGCATATGTGTGTGTGTATATGTAAACACACACACATCTCAAAGAATTCTATGTGCTTAGGGAAAAGTCCAATGTTAACATCAACTGTGTACTCCTCTGAGGTTATGTTTGGAAAGGTGGGGATTTATTTATTTTATATACCCTGAATACTGGCTTTCCAGCTAAAAGTTAGACTGCTACATCATGTACAAAATCAAATCCATGTGGACTACATTATAAAAATAAAAATCAGCCGAAGAAGAGTTAGGAAGTGTGTAGAACTACAAGAGTTAGAATGGGTAGAAAATCTTTCTTAAATAAGTTAGGAAAATAAGCAACCATAAAGGAAAAGATTAATACATATGACCATATGTGTATGTTGTTTCTGTGAGAAGTTTCTTAAACAAAGCTGCTATGAATGATGGGTAAAAAAAAATAGTGACATGTGACCAATAAGAGATTCATAATAATAATAAGTATAGTAAATAAAAATTTAAATGTAATGAGTTAAATTAATATCTTCACACAAATTAATATCCTGCAAGGTGAAAACAAGCAAACAAGAGAAGAAAAGGAAAAACATAGGAACAGGCAATTTATTTGAGAACAAAGGAAGGTGGATCACAATTATAGAAGATGTACAGTCTTATTAGTAGTCAGGAAAATGCAAACAAAACAATATGCCATTTATGACCTATCAGACTGATGAATATTAAAAAGATTAATGATGTCCAATGCCCATAAGTGTATAGGGAAATGGCATTTTCTGACACTTTGTTCATGGAAGTACAATTAGCTGCAATCTTTTTGGAAAATAACTGGTCAAATTTATTCATTAAAAATATGCTTATACTTGGGCATCCTACTTTTGACACTCTCTTACAGAGTTCACGTAACACAGAAGGCAACACACTGAGGCATTCTCACTTCTGATAAAAGTCATTTTCTTGAGTTCACCATAGGAGTTGAGGGTAGAGTTATTACAGAGAATGGTGCTAAGTCAGGATAAGTTTAAAGCAGAACCGACGACCTATACCCCTAAGAGATGGAGAGAAGTAGGAAGGTCTACCTTTTAGATACTCAGGGGTTATAACACAGCATCTCTATTCTGGGAAATCCCTTGAATACTTCCTCATGTCCTTATTCTCCCACTTCCATCCAAGGGTGCAGGAGCAGCCATGACTCGGTGCCTAAGCCTGGCCAGTGAATCTATTCACTGGCATTTCTGGACTTGGAAACACTGGAAATCAAGGTGGCTTCTCTCCTGCAGTCGTATGTGTTGCAAGTAAAATCTTGACATCAGTGGCAATTTTCTCCTACTCTGCGAAGAAGACCATTCTAGAGAAAGAGAAAACACAAAGAGAAACAGAAGTGAAAGGCAAGGAGAACACCCAGGGACATTTAAGTTCCTGAACTGGGTTGTTCTAGGCTCTGTTGCCTTCTAGCCCTTTTTGGACTTGGTCATTCACCTTTCCCTTAGATTATGTGAGAGACCCCAAAAGCCTTCCAGTAAGTTCCTTTTTTTTTCTGCTTAAGCTAGTTTAACATGTTATTATCCCTTATAACCAATAGCATCCTAAATAACAAAGACTTTTCATTCAATAATTAACTTTTTGTTAAGAATACAAAATATCCTGCCACACCCGTGGACCATGAGCAAGAATTATAAGTATATAGTGAAGGTAGGTATATGTCCTTGTCTCTTCACATGAGCTCTGCATTCCAGCTCCCCCGTCCCCACAACCCTGCCCAGAAACTCATTGCTCAATTCTGCTTCACTTCCTTAGGACTGACTTTTTCAGGAAAGAGGGAGAAGAGAAAAAGAAGGATGCTTAGGGTTTCCCACGGAGCATCGAGTGTGCGTATGGTAGAGATCAAAGAAGTGTGTCCCTGATTCTGTCAGCTGTTGTCCTACTGCTGGACGATGTGAGATGCTCTGCTGGTCTGGACCAGTACAGCTATTTACACTGTTTGAAATCTTGGTTGTATATTTTAAAATTTGTATTCATAGTGGATTGTTTTAAAGCAAAAGTGCCAGAAACTCTGCTGTGGAAATATATCCAAATAAGGAACATAGATTTGAGGGCATGAACATTTAAACCCTCTTGCCAAAACCCAAGAGGAAGAAAAAAAAATCAAAAAACAAAACACTAATGACAACAAGGCAAAAATATTTGTAAAAGTTTAACAGAACTGAGATCCTTAAGGGACTGGGCCAGACTGAATAAACAAAGAGCTGGCATTTTCCGAGTTTTCCATTTACCTAGAAGGACCCGTGTTTGGGGAACGTAGCTACATTAACATCGTACAGACAAAGGAGCAAGAATAGGTGACCTCACAGATAATAACATCTGGAAAGATTCCTTTCAGGGTCTGTCCTGTGCCCAAAGAGACCACAGAAGGAGTTATTATATCCCAAATGATAACTAATGCGGAAAGTACACTTTGACACACACACAGGACAGAAGAGGGGTGAGTTCTCACCTTCGGGCAGTGAGCAGCCTCAGGGGCTCTTCTTTTTCTGGCAATTCCCAGAGGCCCTAGGGCTATTTGCATTTCTCCCCAGAGGGGTAATTTCAAAGGAGGTCTTCCTAAACTACCTGGATGCTTATTTTTAGCTCACGTCTTTGGGGTTCTCCGGCAGGCCTAGCAAGAGGATATAATTTGCAGCACAGGAAGGAAAGCTCTGGAGCCACCTTTGGGGCAGACGCTAGTCTCTGAGGTGCTACTTCCTCTTCCCCAACCGTTAGATGTGAACTATTAAAAGGAGATTAAAATAAGCTAAAAATTTAATTAACAAAGTAATGAGATCACCAAAACCAGCTGATATAATCAAAACAGGACAGAACCACCCAGCCAGGCCTAAATCAGGAATAACTCAGAAGTCAGTGCGACTGGTCCTGAGTAACCGGGATGACATGCAGGCAGGGGACAGGCACGCAGGGACGTTTCTTAACCAGGATTATTAAGTCTAATGGCCTCCTCCTGTGGCCTCGGGTCTCAGGCCCGAGAGTGTTCCCTAGCCTCTGACTTACTGATGGGCCTCAACAGGCTCCTATGCTGTTTGCAAGTCCCAGGCACTCTCCCTTGGCCCCTAAGGAGGCACATGCCGATTTCAGAAACATTTGTGTGTTTCTGTGCAAAGTGGGCTTTACATACCAGTGGTACAAATGGACATCCAATTTTAGATTCGGCTCTTGGGGAATAATAATCTGGTCTACGTCCAAATCTGTGTGCATACAAATTCCAGGTCTATGAATGGCTTCTTTATAGTGTTAAAACATTAAACTCAAGTATATTAAAAATTTTAAGAGTTCATTTGGACAAAAATCAATTCAAATAGGGCAGTACCAGACCTGAAGTGGTTAGGAGTACTCTACCACCAGAATCTAGGAGCTAGACTTTTAAGGGAAGAGGCAAGGGTGCTTGCATGGCTCATTTGGCATATCCAACTCTTGGTTTTGGCTCAGGTCCACATCTCCCGGTCATGGGATCGAGCCCCGGCGTTGGGCTCTGCCTCAGCGTGCAGTGGGCTTCAGGTTCTTTCTCCCTCTCTTTCTGCCCCTCCTCTCTCTCTCTCTCACTAACTCTCTCTTAAATAAATAAAATCTTTAAAAAATAACACAGAAAAGAGGCAGAAGCAAAACAAAGAAAGTATTAAATTAGCTATAGCTTAAACCATTGTGTTTATTTGGGAAAATCCTAGTTGGCTCTGACTGGTTGTCCTTAGATTTCATCTTCTTAACCTTGAAGCATTTATAGGCTTAGGTTTTGGTTTGCTGCATAGGCTGCTAAGCTATTAGAACCACCTCAGTCTAATGGCCTCCTTGTTTCATCAATTTAGCAATGGACACTGGAGGTGGGTGTCATGGAAGTTTCAGTGTCTGTTACCCGTCTCAGAGGTGGTCATGCTGACTGGAAATAGTACAGCTTTTTCTGTGGATAACATCTCTTTAGAATGTTACAGAAAACCAGTTTGCTTTGGTGAGAGGTGATCGTATAAAAGTTACGAGTGAGAATAAATGGTGTCCCAGCAGATAGCTCTCTTCGAAAGTAGGTTCTGACATTTTGCTAGGCACATTTTAAAGCAGCTGCATATTAAACTACTTTAGAAATTGCTGATTTCAGGTATCAGGTATTTCAATTCAGTTAGGTTGAGGTTAAAAAACGGTATCCGTTGGCACGATCATATACCTATAAAAGTCTTGAATTAAATAAATTACACATTTTGTGTTTACCAGTCTGATGATAACTGTGGTCTCTGGTTTTTTTTTGTTTTTTTTGTTTTTTTTTTTTAGGATATTATTTATTTATTTGGCAGAGAGAAAGAACAATGAGAGAGGGGACTCAAGCAGGGGGAGTGGGAGAGGGAGAAGCAGGCCCCCCCCAACGGAGCAGTGACCCCCAATGTGGGTCTCAATCCCAGGACCCGGGGATCATGACCCGAGCAGAAGGCAGATGCTTAACAGACTGAGCCACCCAGGTGCCCCATAACTGTGGTATCTGTTGAGCTCAGAGCAGCCAACTCTCAGACAGGAGCTAATCTGAAATTCATTTCTCCAGGCTGCACCCCTTCTAAATCCTACCAGACTACAAGCAGGTGAAACAATGGAGGTGACGTCCAGCTCAGTTGTTCATCTCTGGTTTTCTTCTTTTCTTTTTAGAGGAGGTTAAAATTTAGGTTTGGTTTCATCTCAGAAGCAAAGGACGAACCCCAAGCCAGGACAGGCGATAGACAAACGAGGCCCACAGGACTTGTTTTCTTGAAGGGGGAAAAAAAAAAGAAAAAAAGAGAAAGAAGTCAAAAATTCAAATAGGTAAGAGATAGGGGACAAAGCAAACATTCTCCAGACGAGACATATATTGTATGAGGCTCACAGTGCCTGAAGTGTCCCACTCCACCGGAAGGGTCATCGTCAGAGGAGAGCAAGTAGATGCTGCCTGACAGGCAGTGGCTTCCTATGGAGCCTTTAGCATTTATCTCCATGACCAGGATTATAGAATAAAGAAGATGCTCTCTAAATCTGTGCCTATCAATAAATTTGAGGGCTAACAGTTTAGAGAGATGGGCTGGAGTAAGGGTAAGGTTCAAGTTGAAAAAACAGGATGTCTAGTTAAATTAGCATTAGATAAACAACGATTTTTTTTATAGTAACATCAGGAACATTAAAAAATTTAAAAATCATTTGCTGTTCATCTGAAATTCAGACCTAACTTTTTTATTGCTAAACCTGCCCGCCCTGGATAGGTGCGTTATGGAGGGAAAAGAGTGTAAGCAGTGAGGAGAAGAGCTCTGAAATGCAGAGTGACAAGCAACTTCTTTTAAAACTCAAAATAATCCCATAAAGCTGAAGGAATATTTGGACTGCAACACAATGAAGTCGGTGAGAAAAGAATGTAAGACCGAAAAGATAGGAAAACAATGAAAATCCCGGTCGTGAATTCCTAAAGGGCAGTTTCCTTTTTAGTCATCTGTCTCTTCTCAGTTTGCTGTCTCTCACTCATAGTAGGCTAGCCTTAAGTGTTTTTTGAATGAACGAACCCTCTCCTTAATGATACTCCCTTTACTAATGCCCTCACAAGGTTCTTAAAAATCACTGACTTCCTTTCATAAGAAATTCATGACATTTATCTGTTTCTTAGGGAAAAGATTAGGGAATCTGTGTAGTGAGAAAGTACCCAGGTTTGGGCTGTCACGGTCCACAGGAGCTCAAGGATGCAAATTACCTGCTTGAGATAAATCTACTCCCAGGATAACTTTCAAAACACTCTGAGATTTTCCTAGAAAGGAGAAAGAATTCAACCAACAAGTTAATCAGAAAAGATCAAACTTGAAAGAGAAAAAAAAAAATAAAACCAGCAACCAGCCACTGAAAGACAGGGTCCCTATAACCCTCTCTGCAAGGGCATGAGGGCCTTAAGAGTTAAGCTTTGTAAAGGCCCTATTGTTATTTCTGTAAGCCCCTGCTATTGTTTCCGCATAATGTTTTCTCATAGTGATTGACAGACAAGTCCCACAACTAAGAAGGATCAGTGAGTCTGTCTGCAGAGTGACAGCATGGAAGAAGACATTGAGTAGCTAGCCTGGTATGGAAGGGGAGAAGTAGAATGGCCAGTCCAGCCGCTACCCCACTCCAACCCAAAAAAGGGTGAGTCTGAGCCAAAGGACAGCAGGAGAATGAGCCTGGTTCCTAGGGAAGGGAGATGTGACTCTACTAAAAATCTGCTGAAAATATTTGTAAATTGTATTCTGTATTCTTCTGATGGAAAGCTCCATGTCTTTGATCACATCTTCAAGATCACATTCTTAAAGATGGCGATGACCTAAAGTTGGATAGGTAAAATTGGGCTTTGAGGAACAGGTGTGGAAAACTCTGCTTGCTCTTGAAAGCAGTGAGATGTGAGACGTCATCGTTGCATTTCTTTTCGTGGCAGCCATATTGGTTCCATACCCCTTTCTAATCCTTCAAGCCGTAAAATGTTAACTCAAGTTTTAAATATATCAAGTCTTAAATATCTCAAATATTTATAAACCACCTCAAAAATCTTTGTGTTCTATTTGTCTATTCAGACACCAAGTATCTAGCAAAGAAAAGTAAGAGGATAATGAACATGTTTACCTACTTCACAAGTTCATTCAAGTGAGTCCCCTCTGTTTAACCACCTCAGATGAATAATTATTCACTAGTAGGTATCAGGGCTTTCTAAAAGTGAAGGCATCTTCGGTATTGCTTCAGAGCCTGATTCCGGGGTGGTAGAGCTTAAGCCAGCACCTGCCAGCAGAAGTTGTTGTAGAAATAGAATTGAAACCTTGTGACATACCTTACACGTGTGATTTACTGTCTGAGGACAAAGCCTCTATCATAGAAAACATAACACCTACACTCACCAAGAATTTAGGTGGGATGGAAGGAGGTGGAGTGAATTTCACGAAGTCTAGAGATAACACATTTGTCACATTCCAAGTGCTGAAAATAAGTGTTCTTGCACCTCCAGAGTTGTTCTCACAAAACAAGGTGCAATGACAAGTTAACATCTAGCTTTCAGTTACCACTTAGCTGCAGGGAAGTATTTTAAACTATTATACGTATGAAATTAGATTTATAAAAACATCCCCTTAAAAGAAACATAACGATAAAGGGAGCTTGAACATCACCACATATGACAATCTGTTACCAATGAAATAATTTAGAAATCAGTGATATTTTGTTCCAGTGAATTAATGATCATAAATATATACATTTTGCAGTACACTTTCCCCATTTTAAATAAAACTATATTTCTTATAGATAGGAGACTCAAAGTAAGTGCTTTATTTTAAATTAAATGTTGTAATCCAGGGTTCTAATTTGTTAGACCCTGATATTCATTTGCCTGGAACGTTGGATGCAATCCTATTTGAAGCAAGTTGGTTCGGCACTCAAGGAAGCTGCCTAGTTCTCTTTCAATCCAGAGGGCAAGAACTGTCTGTCTCGCTTCACCCATTTCTCCTTTCTCCCTGTGTACCTTGATTTGGCACCTGTGCTTTGAGTAGATGAGTAAAGAACTGCAGGTTTTCCTTCCTTTAGGGAGTCTACTCCAATCACTTACAGATAAAAGACCATTTTTCTCTCTCTGTTACTATAGTCCCTGAGAACCTGTCCTGTGTGTATCCTCAAAATATTGTGAGATTTTTCAAGGAACCAACTTTGCATCCCAGGAT